GATCCGCGAATAAGCGTGCATCGGGCTGTCTTACGCGCGTAGGACAACCCGGCGCGCTTTGCACAATTACATTTTAATATGTATTGCGACGTATTTTTCAACTGCGTCACAGAGAAAACGGTGGAGATGTCTTCTATCTCCGTCGGGACTCCGTCTCTGGAGTTCGACACTCGGAACTTCTCCGAATTCGCAAGCTCGTCGAGTGTAATTAGTTGTAGATTGGGCGCCAGGCACGCGTCCCGCGTGCCAAGTTTTAAGACGGCTCGCTGTACGAATTCAGGCCGACTAGCTCGGGACCGAACGGAGAGGGGCGAGGTGGTGATGAAACGGAGTAAGGTCGCGTACAAATAAAATAGACACGAGAATTAAAGTAACAAAATAAAGTGATATATTCTTCAAAATAAAATGGAGTCTATAACGTATATAATAACAAGAGACGATCGTTAATTATAAGATTCGCCGGGGATTCCCGCGTTGACGCACAGGTGGTTCCTGCAGGAATCGGAACGCGGAATTCGGCTCGAAATAGCTTATTATTGCCGCTCGGCGCAGCACGTGAATACGCTGGATTCCTCGCCGCGCTTTTTCCTAATAGATTTCGGGCTCGCGCCGCGCAAACAAGCCTCACGAAGCGTGCCGAATACAATGCGTCGGGTCAACGACCACGCGCTCGATCAGCTGTTTTCCGTCAACAGCCGTTTCTGTGTATACTCGAACTTACCGCACGCGTAAGGTTCGGAATCGCNTCTTCCGAGATAACGAAGCGCTCTGGTCAATTCGCAATTAACGTGACGATCCGACAGCCCGGGACGATAGCACCCTGCGACTCCCCTTTCGTACGCGTAATTGACCCCTATTACTGTGCTTTCGCACTCTCCGATACCTCCGGCGCGTGCCGATAGCGTTTTTCTTAGGGCAAAAGCCCGCGAGTGACGCGACGATACGAGCCTCCTGGGCTTGACGCGGGATGGAGCGAATACGGGAGAGTTTTTTGCCGCCCGATTACGTCCGTCGGCTTGGCCAAATAAATTCTCTCTTACGCGATCCTAATCGCTAAGAGCAGAATACTCGAGACGGCGCTAGTCTCACGCGATGGTAAACCGATCGGCGTCCTCGAGACGTCGTACAAAATCGGAACAAAGGTAAAAGATAAATCGAAACGGCGCTGAGCCGGTACGTCACCAGGGTGGACCGGGCGATCTCTCAGTCGGCGATGCTGCCTCGTGACCTCCACTGGTTGGTTCAACTGCTCGTTCTCTTTTTCGCTTCCTCAGCTCCGCGACCCTCGCTCTCTTCCTCGCTCGCTATAGCCGGACTCGCTCACGTACTCGCTTTCGTAACTTTTTCGCACTGGCACGAAGGAGAAAAACTCGCGTGTTCGCAGCTTCGATGCTGGAAGATTATTATTATTCTCGCGTCGGGGTTGTGCCTCTTTTATACTATCCGGGATCGCGCTAACCGCGGAGACCTATCGCTAGCGGGGGAGATCCCCTGGCCTATCACAAGGCCCGTTTTTCGCAGGCCGGGGAACGCGTGATCGTTTGGATTTCTCCAACGGTCGCTCCGGCGGTCGTACCGGACACGTTGTTGTTTTTGTTTTCCGGTGAAGTCTACGGTGTTGTGGCTGTTTTCTGTTTTCCTCGCGGTCGTTCTCCTCCTTGNAGGTCGCTCTAACTGTTGCTCTGCGTCGCTTTCTCCAGATCCGCGTGAGCCTTGCGTATTCGGTTGTCTCCGAGCGCAGTTTTTGGGGCCGTTAGGGCGAGTCTTTGTGACAAGGGCAGGCAAATGCATTTGCAGTCGCCCTGCCACGTCACAGTATATGTTATAGTATATGCTGTTATATTAGCTCCTCCCATATGTCGCTATGGGTAACACCGTTAGCGCGCGAAGCGGGCTGTCTTACGCGCGTAAGACAGCCCGATGCATGCTTATTCGCTGATCTTTGTTAATTAAGATCTCCGTAACTATTGCGAATCTAGCAAAATGGTATAGGACATTTTGACTCAGTTTTACTCCTTCTATTTGTTCACGAAAGATGTTACACCAATTCTGGGACATTCTGTATATTTGTCCGTTTTCGACATATTATATTTTTGCTGAAACTCATGACACGTGTGATTGGCAACTTGTTGTCATGTTGCTCTTTATGTTAGTAATAAACCGTTGACAGCAAATACACAGCAAGTTGTCGGCAACACATGTTGAATACGTGTCATGTCAAACCAAAGACAAATGCCTGACTCACCTTATTCTAAATTTGCTGAAAACTCAAGCGTTTTGTTTTTGGCAACATGACAGCAAAAACACAGACAGGTGGCTATCAGGGCAGTTAAAACTGAAGAAAACAGCATGTTTATATCGTACATAATCTTGTACATAATCTTGTACTCAAGGCGGGAACTTAAAAAACAAAATGCTGCCAATTTTTATCTGAATTCTCAATAAATTGGCAGCATTGCATTCGACACACTGTGCTTGACTATACCCTTCAGCTGTGTACAGTTGTGTCGAGTTGTGTCGTTGTTGGAACGTAAACCCGTACGTCCTTTTATTTTATATCGGTGGCTGCGTTTGAGGTAAATTAGTATGGCGGCGGCGGATTCGGCAGATGATAATTTATCGGTGGCGGCGGCGAATGGGAACGTCAGTATATATTTCTTTTAAATAAAAGGATTAAAGTCCAAAATAATTAAATAGACTTAGTAAAACTATATTTTTAAGAAATAAACGCTTTATTTTATATCATTTTTTTAACTTTTACTAGTACGTTTTAAAATTTATATCTTTTAATTATTTTAATTGTTTAATAATGTTAGAAAATATCCATTAATTTCGACGGAAATATTTTTAATTTTTCTAATTTAGAATAAACTTTATTTTTGACATCGGTCAAGCTATTTTTTGTATACAACTGATAATTAATTATCACTTTAAAGTAAATACCAATAGGTTTTTTTTGGAAGAGAAAAACCCCAAAAATTGGTGTAAACAAAAACCATAAAAACACAAAACGTGTGAACACGTCTATTCTCGTCTATAACCGGTAACGGACCTAACGGACTTTTTATATGCACCGAATTGATCGAACATAACGCACGAGACTTAGGGAGAAGTCAGATGATGCAGAACGTAATGCAGAATTTACAAAATGAATTCCGGCCAATCATAGACATTCCGCAAACTTTGTTCATCCCCGAGAATGTCTATGATTGGCCGGAATTTATTTCGTAAATTCCACATTACGCACATTCCGCACCATGTGACTTCTCTCTAAGGGACTCTACATTTTACAGAAGTATCCCACATAGAAGAAAAACTCCATTAGACGTCAATTGGACGTCAACAGCTGCATGTGACATCTAATAGATATCTAATGGATGTCTGGATGGATGGATGTCTATGTGGGATAATCCAAGAAAGTATTTAATTCATATAACATATCATATGAATATAATATATTCATTAATTGAATTTCGTATAATATAAATTAAATATTTTGAGATTATATGTCTGAAAAATGTAGATTCTTGTCATAATTTACAAAACAAAAATATATAAAACAAGAACACTAATAACTTGCAATATTCAAAAAACTTTTGAATTTTTTCAGTTAACTCATATGTAATAATTTCAAAAAAAAATATAATGCATCTTGAAATGTTTTACTATCATCAATAATATTACGTACTTTTTCCAAGACTGTAAATCTCAGAAAAAATATAAATATATAAATATTGTACGTCTTTTAAATAAAAATTGTGTATAGACCGTGGACGCGCGACGTTCTACGTTTCTCGCTCGTCTCACACATTGAGATTTTCATGTTGGTGACATCGCAATTTGTGGAATCAATTGACAACAATGTAATTTTTCGAAATACATGAAATGTCATGCATTTCCCGATAGAAAATGAACCTAAAATATTAAATAAACTTTGCTACAGAGATCTTTCATGTTACAATATTAAACATTTTTGCACCAATTATATAATACAATTATATAATACAAGTTTTATGTTTTGCAATGATGATAGATAAAATTATGAAGTGGTTTTCTGCACTATCCATGAGGTGCCACTAATAGCGCGTTAGGTTTTTTAACGTGGACTTTCGCCTGTAGCCCTATTCTACCACATTTTATTTCGCATCTGTTATTTATAAATATGCCCTGATAGCCACCTGTCTGCGTTTTTGCTTTCATGTTGCCGAAAACAAAACGCTTGAGGTTTCAGCAAATTTAGAACAAGGTGAGTCAGGCATTTGTCTTTGGTTTGACACGACACGTATTCAACATGTGTTGCCGACAACTTGCTGTGTATTTGCTGTCAACGGTTTATCATCGTATAGGTTTTCTAATAGTTTGTTTGCTAAAAAAATATTTTATTATGTCATTTTAATATTTAATTATTGTAAAAATAGGTTAAATACTCAAATGTAAAAGTAATTTTATATATATTATGGATTATAGATAGTGTGTATATACAATTTAGAAATAAGTCAAGATATAATTAAATGGCCTTTTAAATACCATATAGTTTGACTGAACTGCAAGTCTTGCTCGGTTTTTGCCAACAATTTGCTGTTATGTTTTGTTAACAAGCTTGGATTTTTGCTAGCACTTTTGCAACATTGCCAGATAAAACTCTGCATCATATTTGATGTCTTTCTGCTAACAAAATTTGTAACAAGCATTTGGCAAAATCTGTTTCGACAGATTTGGTTATCTGGGATAACATCTCTAACGTCTAGAAGACATAATAAAAACATTTGATATATATAATATTGCTACTTGAAATGCAATGCAATATTATCGTAATTTCATTATTATATGTAAATGTAATATGTCGATAATATTATTGTAATATTATATTATAATATCTAATATTACTAATATATTGTAATTTTACTGTGATATTGCAGTAATATTACGTGCTATGTGGGTGATTGTACTTTTTATGCAATTTCCGACTTTTTCGGATTTTTCATATACATATACATATGTCTGAATAAATATGATCATTTTAATTTTTGTCGCGCATTTTGTACATAGTAATACCGATTTGTACAGATTCGATTAACCACTTATCGACAGTAAAATGAATGTGGTTATGCAGATAAAGTTTAATCATAAGAGTTTAATGCTTTTGTTTATAATGAACGCGTATAAACAAAAGCATTAAAATTATGTAGTAGTTAAACTTCACTGATTCCGGCATAAGTCAACGGTTACATCTATCTACGACTAAAAGTAGGTGTTGCTCCATACCCACACAGAACAAAAACTCCATTAGACATACATTAGACATCAAAAACTCCATGCAATATCTAATAAATGTCTAATGAAGGTTTTGTTCTGTTTGGGTAGTTTCTACATCCACTTTTGCAGATGTATAGCGCTAAAACTAATGAGCGTTGTCATAAAATAATATAATGAGATGACCGCTCTCACGCTTTTCTCTGCTTTTACAGAGGAAGTGTAATTAAATCACATTAAAATATCGATCACATCGAGCGCCGGCACAGCTGCCACCGCCTTTCGCAGGTCGGCGACGCTGCAAGCGTAAGAGATACCGGCTGTGATATCGCGCGGTTTCCAGCTCAACCACTTGATCTTCTTGCTGATATCCGCGCACAAATACACATCAGCTGTAATCGTCTTGATGAACGGATCGTTGAGACCTACAAACGCCGTGCCCCGCTTGCTTGATGGATCGTAGATGACTTTCCAATAGAACTTAGGTGCAGATACGATCGCACCCTCCGCGTGCAGATAGATTAGCCGTTGTTTACCGCGTTCATCCTCCATGGTCATCTGACCGTGCACTCCCGTGTAAACGTCAAGATCCAAATATTGGCTGGCAGCAAACTTCCTTACGCTATCTTCTAGCGAATTCCAATTACCATCGTTAAAAGACTGCCACTGCGGCGCAGTGTTTAAGTACCAAAAGGTCGACCTCTGCATGGCGCCATACACGAAGTCCGCCTTGGCCACCATATGACCGCGAGAAAGAAATTGTTCTGACTTCTTCAATCGCTTCTTAGCCAATTCGGTCGAATTCAGGATTTTAGCGATTGTGTTCAGCTGGTTCTCAAATTTGTACAGTTTATCTAAATTTACTCCGGGATAAAATTCTCCCGCCTCAAACTTTTGCGGTCTGAAACAATTAACAACCAAATGTGACCTTGTTTTTTTTACATTTATAGTAATCAGTATACATATTTTTCCATTGCTTTCTAATATAGATAAAAAAAGATATCTGTTTCGCAAATTTTCCAATAGAAAGTAAATTATTTAGTATTTTAATCGATTAACAATATAAATCTTCTTGAACACCACAATTGCATATTTATTATTTATAAAATTACATAAACTTTTTAAGAAATAGTTTTGATAATAGATAACATGAGTCTTATTATTATTTTTATAAAATTTAAATTTAAGTAACGGGCTTATTAAACCGGTTGCAGGGTGTTTTGCAATAAAATTCCAATGTTTATTATCCAAATGTTTCGACTTTATTGTATCAAGTAATCTTCAGTGTTTTGTAATTCTGTACAAGATTTCTTATAATGACGACAAATTTTAGAGTGTTAACGAATGTATTGTTACATACTAGTTATTTTCAGTACCGACGATAACAACACATTTGTTAACACTCTAAAATTTGTCGTCATTATAAGAAATGTTATACAGAATTACAAAACACTGAAGATAACTTGATACAATAAAGTCGAAACGTTTGGACAATAAACATTGGAATTTTATTGCAAAACACCCTGCAACCGGTTCGATAAGCCCGTTACTTAAATTTAAATTTTATTGATCACGAACCAGAGGACACCTCTATACACATTAATTTATTATTTTTATAATTTTGCGAAACAATAAGAAGAATTTAGAAATAAATCGTTGCATAAATTTTTTAGATTTATCTATCCATATTGTGGACCAGAAATTAAAGATAGATTGGTTTCACAAATAGACTTTCTCTGGAAGGTTTTTGTCATTTTTCTCCCACCATCCTCTGTGCCACAAAAAGGCACAATTTTTAGTTTAATTGATCGAGCTATATTCTAGTCACATCTTGACTTTCATATTAAGAATATCACTTTTTTTATTATTGACGTTTTACTTAGCAATGGTTATTTTCTTGATTTTATTTTTAATAACATTAATTCTAGAATTAAAAAATTTATTTCTAAGAAACTCAACAACTCTTTTAATACAAGCTCTCTCACTCCAGTTGACAGAAACTTGATTGTTTTACCATACATTAATAATATCTCAGAATGTATCAGTACTATTTTTAACAAAGCAGAAGTTATTATAGACTATAAGTAAAACTTAATTAAAACTTAATTAATGACACGAACTTACTTGACCATTCTTATTTTAATTTACTTGACTCAATAAAATCTTCCAAAATTTAAAATTTAACGGACCCGCTTTACTTTGACTTTACTGTTAGTTGGTGGGGAGACAGATATATAAGTTGTTGCCTTTACTCTCTGTTTATCGTTTGATCTTGACTTCGGATATGTAAGTTTCAAATACGTTTTAACTTTAATACTGTGTTATTGTGCGTGACTATTTACTACACGATCTTTTCAGGAAGTCAAACATTATTACAGCCTACTGTGGACTTCTTAATGTAAGATCTATTGTTTCAATTTCTCCATCTACTTTTGCGAACCTTGCGATATGACGTTATTACTTATATTTATATATTTCTTTGTTACACTGAAGAGGGCTCAAGTAAGGGCCGAAACGTTTGTTATTTATAATTTCAATTTTATTTCTCTGCGTTTTGTTTCTTTAATAAATTTTAAGATTCATTAAAGCTCGTAACAGACCTTGATTATTTATATTTATCTATACTTATTGTTAATATCACGAGCGAATTTAATAATATATATCTTATGTTAAGAAGAATTTATTTTGAATTCGGCCAAAATTGCGATCTAAGAAAACTGATGATAAAACACGCGGTATGCTGTAAGTTGCAAATGCATTGAGTTAAAAAGTTACGAGTAAGACTTATAACATTTCTTTCATATAACGTACTCGCTGAATTAAAGAGAACATAAATTTGTCAAGAAGAAATGTTATCTCACAGACAACAGCTGATACTCATCCGATCACAATATCATTAGTAAATATTGTTTCTTTAGATTACCGTATCGCTAAGAGTATAAAATCGACAACTAGTGAAAAACCTGCAAATCAAACCGCGCTCATATTAACAATAATTTCATTTCTCGGATATATTGCTCGAACGATCGCGAGTTCGAAAAATATTGAAACATGAAAAAAAAGCGAATTGAATATTAAGTTTTAAGATTTTTAAAATTGTTTAACTTATATTGTTAATCTTCATAAATAGTATTATCACTTTGTGCATGATAATTTTTGGAAAATAATACTTTTTTTCTGATTTTAGAAGAACTTTTTTTATATGTTTCTTATATAACATTTTTTAAATTTTTTATATATTTTTATATATTTTAAATATATTTTTTTGTCGTGAGAGCATAGCGTGTCGAAAAATTATCTTACTTAGTTAATTCAATGTTCATGTTTGATTGAATTCTACATGGTATCATTTACCAGCAACTGTACAAAATAATCAAAATCATGTTAACAAGAAACCCGAAATTATAATTTTCTCTCTTCGGCCGGTATTCATAGTCGGATCTTGTAGTTAAGATCGTCTTAAGTTTATCTTCAGATCATGTGCGAGTAATTTTATTAGCCGCAGAGCATCTGAAGATAAACTTAAGACGATCCTAAATATAAGATTCGACTATGAATACCGGCCTTCAATTTTAGAACTTATTAATATATCATTTGTTTACTCAAACAACTTTTTAAGTAAAAACAATATCAAATTCAAACTTGATAATCAATAAGTTCGATAACTGATAATCGATAATTAATTGATGATCAATACGCTTTGCGTACTAGTGACTTTAATAAACTTTTGTTTTTATTTGCGTCATCTAAAACTTCTTACCTGGGATAACCTTTTTGAGAACTTTTGATCAATCGCGACATCTTAAATTTGGTGACATACGTCGTATACGTCTTATCATCGCGGCACAATTCAATAGTGCGAATGGAAGCGGTGCTCGTGTTGAAACCGATCTCGAGAAGTCTGTGTCTGCCGAGACAGGGCAGCGATCCTGTATATCTTGCATGATGCTTGCTGTGAGATTTGCAAACTAGAGACGAGAAGTTGTGTAGAGCTCCATTCACGCTAAACACCGTATCCTTCACGCAAATTGCCTCAGCCTCATTGCCCACACTTCTGTTTTGGAGATAATTGTCTTTACCTGGGCAAGTCAAATAAATGGAACCGCTCTCAGGAATAGTTAAAGTCCCATTATCGTCATCCGGATACCAGATGCTGAATGCGTGCTTAGCATCGCGTTTCAAGAGGAGCGGTTGAGGCTCTTTAAGATCACCGCTTTTGTATTTTATCGAGATCGCACAGCCGACACCTGAAAATCGTTATCGCACAATACAAGTTATAAAAAATACCGCAAAAACGCGCAGACGTTGTGAAATAATAAAAAACAAAAACGATACATACCAGTGGTGGTTGAGCTTGCGATCGCCCAAGTGATACATCCGAGAAATGGAATTATTGTCCACATGAGCGCATTCGAATTGTGATACAGTTAACATCGCGTTTCTCATTAGTTTGTCGATTTTATACTCGTCAAGCAGCGATACGGTAATCTACAGAAAAGATAACTGGTAGTATATTGTGATTGGAGTGATCAGCTGTTGTCTGTAAGATAACATATTTCTTGTTGACAAATTATGTTTTCTTTTTCATTCAGCGAGCATGTAAAGAAAATGTTGTACACGAATAAGTTTTGCTCGAACTTTTTAACTCACTGCAAGCCTAAATAATTCCACGTTTAATTAATGCAGTTACATTGTATAAAACATACCGCGTGTTTTACTATCAAGTTTTTTATAGTTTTTTCAAAACTATAAAAATAATAATAAGACTCGTGTCATCTGTTATCAAAAATTATTTCTTGAAAAGTTCATGCAATTATAGAAATAATTGATGTAATTCTATAAATATTATATAAATTGCCTTTAAGAAGATTTATATACTATGTAATCGATTAACATAACGGTAAATAGAATAAGTAATAATAGAATAGAATATACACCAAATAATTTATTTTTTATTAAAAAATTTGTGAAACAGGTGTCTATGCAGACTATTTTTGTACTGCATCTTGTTGCAACGGAATATTAGTTGACAAATGGAATGTATAGTGCAAATGTTTATCACGATGTTGTTATTGCAGATAAGTCGATATCTCTTCCTAACAATGGCCAGCAAGTAAAAACCAGCTGCTATATAACATATAGAAATAATACTCAATATAATAATCAATAAAAAATTAATACTCAATATGATTGTTATAACAATATTGCAGTTACATTACTTTCTGTGTATATAAGTTTCTTATTTAAATATTATTATATATATTCCTCTGTTATGTATATTAGTTACAATACCATCTTTTTTCATGTTTGTACAATTGCGTAGCGCTGCCGCTAAGCAGCATTTTTTCTTAAAGTTAAATTTTGTTGATTCGAGTATATATATAAAATACTAAACCCAATTAACTGAAGTGGATACTCAGTCCGAGTTTCTGAGAAATTTTTTTAAATAATATAATGAGATCAGATAGGCCAATGGGAGCACGAACACGGTTGTTTTGTGTTGATAAAGTTATTTTGATAAATTGATTTTGAAACGTTGACATCTAACGTTTCGACCGACGATGCAGTTGTTATCAATAAAAAGTAATTGGTAAAGTAATTGGTAAGGTAATTGGTGTCCGTTAAAATTCGAATATGTTGTGGTTCTGGCAGTCAAAGTTATAATGACATTTATGTGTAAAATTTACGTGATTAATGTTAAAATTTATGATTGTCAGATCAGATAAAATAAAATAGTTTTGAACTGTTTCACTTTGGATATTATTAATTTAAGAGCACACATGATTTTAATTTTACATGATCTAGTCAGGACAATTACTCTATCATTGATAAAGACCGCATCGTCGATTGAAATGTTTGATGTTAACTTTTCAAGATCAATAAATTTATCAACACAAAAACAACGTATTTGTGCTCCCATTGACCTATCTAATCTCATTATTTTATTTTGAATATTAGAGCCATGTTTTATTTCACTGGATTATTAATATCTTTTTGAAGTTTCTCCGAAACTTTAATGGGCATCAGTTTGTTGTTTCTTTATGTTGTCCATCACACAATGCGTATTGTGTATATATAAATACTAAATCAGATTAAATTTCAATAAAAACCTAAAAAAATAAAAATTAAGTAAATGTTAAATTAAATTAAAGTTTTATTAAAATATTAAATTATTTTTATCAATAAAATTGCTTAATTTAATAAATATTTGATCAATGTATCTTTTATCTGAAGTATCTAAAATTGTAATAACAATTTAAATAAATTAATGACATCTTGACATGTTATATTACTATTATAAAACTACTTTTATTTTTAATAAATAGGAAACAACTAACATATGTATGTTACATGTAATATATTACCTGTTATATCACTTGTTTCATTCTGCTATATATGCTGGGCAAGATTCGTGTAACTTGTCGTGTTACAACGTTTATTCTTATTATCATAGTATTTTTAACTTTATAATAATCTCTTGTTAAATCATGAAGTAATTATTATTATTATTATTATTTACTTTAGAAGTATGATTTTATGACTATATTATGTTATTTATTATCGATGCAGTGTTTCAGACAAACAGTTACTAGTTAATTGATAAAATACTTGTTGGCGCTACTGACGACTGGAGGGTAATGATCTTTTTATTATAGTCTTGCAGTCCGCATTCCCGCTTCTCATTGGTTTTTCCATTTTGAAGAAACCAGTAGATAGAACGCGTTCATTAGACACGCTTTCCCTTTGACATTTACCTACTTGTCACCTAATTGTGGAGTGTGTTTGTGTATACAAACAACAATACCAGATTGGTGTGCGCCAAATGTAATATAACAGAAAAAACACTATTATGCAAATTAAATTTGTGCAAATACATAACTTTTAAACAAATATTTTAAAACAAATATTTTATTTCATATATAAATTGAATTATATGTTGGAAGTTTAATATATTCAAATGAAATATATCAAATATTTAGACAATACTTAATATTTAGATTTATCTATATATTTATCTATATATTTTGGTTTTCAACAGAAGCATCTTTGCAGCAAATCCTGCACAATATTATACGAATGCAACAAAAGTTACAACAACAAATGTTGCAAATGCAACAGCAGCAGCAGCATCAACAACAGCAGCAGCAGCCCCAACAACAGCAGCAGCAGCCCCAACAACAGCAACAGCAGCCCCAACAACAGCAGGAGATGCAGACAAATGCAACTAGTAAGTTATTTATTTAATATAACACAACTATTAGTTACTAAATATAATAATTGCAAATCTTTTATTTTAGTAATAATTCTTGTTTTAGGAAGACACAAAAGAGGAGCTGGTTAAAATAGGGTCCGCTGGTATAAACAGCGGGGTGGCCGAGGCGGTGCCAGCGAGATAATATTCCCTAGCGGGAGAGGCCTGTATACAAAAGGAGGCCCGCGGGGAAGAAGAGGCCGAGGAGCTTGTCGTGGCTCTCCAATTATTCAATACTAAATTAATTATCAATAAAATTAATATAGTATTAAATAATTAGAGATATATATCAGCAATATTAATTATATCCATACATTACATATTATATATATGCAGTATCTAAAGAGTAAAGAAGAAAACTTTTTAATTAAAAAATAATAAAAATAGTAATATTAGGTGCGCAACTAAGTTCTCGCTGTTTTTTTTTGAAAATGCAACTTTATTGTGAAAAAATGGTTACAAATGAATCATTCAAAGTATTGCCCATCGGTAGCTACAACTTTTTCCCATCTTTCTGGCANAGCTCNAATNNCGTTACNNTAAAAGTGTTCGTCTTTTGAGGCTATCCACGAATCAAGCCATTTTTTGATGTCTTCATATGAGCGAAACTGCTGATCAGCCAGACCATGTGCCATCGAACGGAACAAGCAATAATCGGACGGCGCAATATCTGGGGAATATGGCGGGTGGGGTAGGATTTCTTATTTGAGCGTTTCCACGTAAGTTTTAACGGGTTTGGCAACATGAGGCCGAGCGTTGTCATGCAGTAAAATCACTTTTTCGTGCCTCTGCTCATATTGTGGCCGTTTTTCGCGCAGTGCTCGACTCAGTCGCATCAATTGAATTCGATATCGTTCCCCAGTGATGGTTTCGTTCAGTTTCAACAGCTCATAATAAATAACACCGACCTGGTCTCACCAAATACACAGCATAACCTTCGCAGCGTGAATATTTGGCCGAGCCGACGACGTAGAAGCATGACCGGGCAGTCCCCATGACTTTCTTTTCTTTGGGTTGCTGTAATGAATCCATTTTTCATTACCCGTCACATTGCGATGAAGAAAACCTTTCCTTTTTTTGCCGCTGGAGCAGTTGTTTACAGGCGAAAAAAAGACGCTCCTTGGCTTCAAATCATAAGGAACCCAAGTTCTTTGCTTTTGAATCATTCCCAACGCATGAAATCGCTTGAAAATGGCTTGGCGGGTAACTCTTAATGCTGAAGCAAGCTGTTCTTGCGTTTGGCATGGATTCTCATCGAGCAATGCCTCCAATTGAGCGTCTTTGAAGGTTTTGTTTGGCCTTTCTTCACGCGGACGGTCGTCAAAATCGAAATCACCGTCTTTGAAGCGACGGAACCAATCACGGCACGTTGTTTCACTTTAGAGCAGCATCTCCGTAAACTTTTTGGAGCTCTTGATGCGCTTCAGCCGCCGTTTCCTTCGAATGAAATAAGAAAATCAACACTTCCCGCAAATGACGATTATTTGGTACAAAATCAGACATTTTCACACAACCAAAAGTATATGACGCCAAAACAAAATTACTAACGTGTCAAAGCGGTTTGTTTACCATATGTCTAAGCTTGGCTCGTGACGTTTTGGATATTGCAAAATCATAGAGCTTATACTCATGGAGAGGCCCTGCGAGAGATATATTTTTCTGTTTCAATTGTGGCCACATCTTATAGAAGAGAATAACAGAGAACACGGAGTGGAGGAGCCACAGTTGAGACAAATATATCCAAATATATCTCTCTTTGTCGATTCTCCTTGCACGACCCTCTCTATGGTTAGCATATAGGCAGGGTCTCTCCATGAGTATAAGCTCTATGGTCAAAATCGACCAGCACTTACTGCTGGAGCCATCTATTGACAAACAGCGGGAACTTAGTTGCGCACCTAATATTTCATTTATTTTATATGAGAACAATTAGAGAATAAGTAATGTATAGCTTAACTTAGAACTTTTACAGACAAAATTCTAAATATCATGACATTTACATTTAAAAATAATTAATGTCTTTAAATCTTAATTTATCTGGAATTCTAAATATTCGACATTTACATTTAAAAATAATTAATGTCTTTAAATCTTAGTTTGTCTGGCATACTATATATCCGACATCCATATTTATAAATAACAGATGCGAAATAAAATGTGATAAAATAGGGTTACAGGCGAAAGTCTACGTTAAAAAAC